CACTCACCCAATCCTAAATCAAATGATAAAAACTAGAATCATGAGATACGGCGAAAAAGGAGTTTCACTCAAAGCAAGGACATTTATGCTCAAAAGGCCCAGGAATTCATCTATTTTGATGATACAGACATTAAACAAACAGCTATTAAGGTTTTATTTTCACAAGGATTTCTTTCGAGAGTAAACTTACGGTCACATTGATTGCAAGTTGAACTCGGGCTGACAGGCTCGTCTCCGTGTCCAACACTTCCAACCACAGAAGATAATTTTGAGCCGTTTCATAGTCCAATTTGGATACCAATCGAAGAATACCTGCATAGGCAATGCACAAGATGAAATCGAAACCGACAGAATGAGCACAGGGAGGGAACAGAAACTGTGCAAAAAGGGGTGTGATTTGGAATCTTACAACACAACAACAGTGAATGAGGACAACGCGATACTTCAAAGTTCAGACGGATAATGGCCATCACCACATACGTTGAACGGATCCAGGAATGACAACACGACAGTACCCGAATGGGTAGAAAACGCACAACACCGAGGGACTGAGTCAGGTAATGTCCACAGGAAACCGATATAGTTATCGTTCTGGATGAAAGCAAAGGTTCGGATTGAAGACAACGAAAAACAGACAACACCAAATACAGCAGCATTTGTTGTCATCAAAGAGAGAAGTGAAATTCTGTGACTGTCACGAAGTCTAGCAGATGAAAATTATGTAGATGAGCATGCACTTTCAATGAATAAAAGACAAACGGACAAACAGATAGAGAAGGAAATCTTAGAATTTCTAGGTCTTCTCAAAAACGAATGTGTGCGTGCAGATCTGCGGGCACACAAACTGAATTCGAGACGATTAAGACGACGGATAACCTGGTGTACAGACGATCACAACTCACACGGGCCTTGATTTCGATAGACTGTCGGATAAACGGGCACGGGAGATTGCCGAGAGTAACAAATAATCCAACGATGGGAAAAAAGCATAATGGATTACTGAGTCATATTGCAAGGCTAACAATGAACAGAATACGGGGTAAAAAACGACAGACTGTCTAAATTCTATTAACAGTCGTCTATATACGAACACTGCACTGCTTGTCTCAACCGAGAAACTCGAGCGAATTATAAATCCCTCGTGCTTAGCTCGTACACACGAGAAAACGGGAGTACATCCATTGTGGGCAACTGAACACATCCACTGACACACACGTGTCGACGATGAGAATATTATTTTGCGAACTAGCGTGCAAGGAAATCAGTTTACGAGCGGAGACGTTCGACTGTTAGTAATTTCCACGGTCTGAGAGGAAGAATATGCTCAGACAAATAAATATATTGCACACACACACACACACACACACACACACACACACACAAATGCACACATACACGAGCAAGCACTATCGCATTCAGACCGCGTTATCCGTTTGAAGTTGAAAACGAACACACAGAGATACGTACGCGAGTGTGCAGAGAATGCGGGCGGGGGCTGGGGAGAGGAGGAGAACCCCGAATTACGTGAGAACACTGCAGGACAAATGCGCCATTTTGTTTGAGTCCCAAAAATCTATAAACTCTACGTTTTGTATATATAACCAACTGGTCGAATACGAATGAGCTACGAGAAAAAACAAGTAAACTGCGATAAGTCATGTCGTTGAACGCTCTGTTTGCTCAGCTATTGTAAAAGTGATGTAACTCGTACGAGACATATCCAGTTTTCGGGGTGGCTGAGAATTTCCGATGTTCCTGAACAATGAGTAATTTTATGCATTCGTGGACTTGACAAAACATATGTGCATTCCCTAGACAGGAGTGGACTAGTTCAACCTCCATTTCCTGGTATGTATCATTATGTCATTATTTTTCTACCTTTTTTATCAGCCTTTGAATTCGTGCACCATTGCCATATAGTTAAAAGGCTACAACCTTTGGATCGTCCGTTCCTCCTGCCCATCCGAATTGTTGAGTCCTTATCTGAACAATACCCGGATGCTAAACGGTGTCGCTCAACAGTTCGATTGTACTACA